TTCCACATTAGATACCAGGTTCTCTCGGTTCTCGCGCCATTTTTTTGGCGTCCTTTTTGAAAGGTGTGAAATGTTGAAGCTTGCACCGATCTCTTGGTCGAACTTATTTTGTTCCAAAAATTCGATTATCTGCGATACGGGGAAAAAACTAATTTTGAAAAAATTGGCGCGGGCCGCGTGAATCAGCATGGTCTCCAGGGTTTTAGCTTAAAATATCCAAGATGAATCAACGGAGAAAAATTATCCTAGTAATATTTTGTATAAGTGACTCCGTTGCGTTAATAATTCCAAATTTTGCCAACGTTTTCACAAAACTTAACCCTTCAAGAGGCATTTGAAACCGCGCACAGATAAACGAAGAGCTAAAAAGAACGGAATTCGATGGTGCTTTTTGCAAAAAATTCAAACCTCTAATCGATGGCTAATAAAGTAAAAAGAAAAAAGTTGCACCAAAAAAATCAACAAAATGAGTCAAACAGATGGTATAGATATCAAACTACAATCATTCTTAATATGCGCAGGAGAATATCACGTGGAGCCTTCATCCTCTAATTTGGCCTGTGCTACGACGTTTTCACACCATGAGCTACTTTTAGAAACTGTTTCCTAATGGTCCGCATGAAACCTGGCTTCCGCTGACCAATATGAAAGCGTGTATCCTCCATTTGGGGTATCCCCTGGTTGATGTTCCGTCATTCCTATCTTTCCTATTTCTTCTTCCCTTTTACATTTTTCCCCTGTAATGTTCCTATGATTCAATAAGACCTCTCGCTCATTACTTAAAGACTTGATCGTTTTGGTTTATATCAGCTTAGTTGTACAATGCTTGTTTTGTTTTGATGCGAGAAGTCTGACTGTCTTACTTCTTATTCTAAAAAAACATAAGTATAGTTAAAAAGCGAAAAAAAAGCTTAGAGAATATTTATTGGAAACTGATTATAATGAAGTGCTCTCTCTTTCGGGTAACCTAAAACACGGAATCCAGAACCGGAAACCGGAATCCAGAACCGGAAACCGCAATCTGGAATCCGAATCCGGAATCGGGAATCTAGAATTCAGATATTATGAATGACGATAGAAATAATTAACTTCAGCGACGTCTAATAAATAAATATAGGGAATAATTATTTTGTTGCTATTTATTTTCTTTGCCTTACTTCAACCACAAACTGTAATTGTTCAAAAAACAATTGTCTAGCTTTTAACAACCCCTAGCTATACATCTGTCCCGTTTGTTCAAAAGCTGGATAAAGTTATCCATTGGGTAAATCCCACTAGTGATTTTTCGGGTGGAGAGAGCTACCCATAGCCTGCGAGCAGGCTATAGTGTCTGGGTTCCCCACTCAAGCGCTGCTTTCTTACTTTTACATTGGTATGTGAGCGAGAGTCTTCTCGCGGCTTCGCCACTCGCGCCTCCGTCCCAAACACGAGTTACCCATCTTTTGTTCAACCTGGCCCTGGTGAGAGCGCGGTGCTTGTCGAAATCAAATTGCTCTGAGAAGGCTGGTGAGTAGCACAACAGCAACAAGCTACTGCGGTGAGTTTCTGGCAGTCTTTTAGCATCTTTAAACAACATGTGGTCCGATCCGTTCGCAAAAGAGAAGCAGACGGAAGTAAGTGTGCAACATTTCTATAAATTGCTTTAATATAATACGATGGCCGACAAGAATAAGTAGTGGTGATTTGTAACAGTATCAGTGTGGAAATGGTGTTGATCTGGAAATAGTCTCGTATCTGTTGAGAAAATCAAATCTATTTAGACGAGCCAGGTTAGCCTTTGGACATCGAAAGTGGGGGACGTGACCGTCGATGTACAGGTAGCTGCCACTAACATAGACTGTTCACAGCCTCTCTATTTACGCACGCGAAAGAAAAAGCGAGCGAAACGAGCGCGAACCGCGCGGGGGTGGGGGGGTGGGGTTTGCGAGCGAAGCGTGCAAAAAAAATAGAGAGGCTGTAGACATCTTTGGTAAAAAGTGGACTTATTAAGCTCCTCCTCCTGTTAGCGCCTTGTTACTAACATCTCCACCCCTTGACCAATTAACGAAATCGGACCAATTAAAATTTGAGTAGTAAATTGCTTGTTTAATTGATTACAAGTATCAGTTTGCAAACAAAATCACGTACGTGTGTTCGTGTGACGAGAATAGGGACCTTTAGCAATGACGACGAGAACGTGGACGACGACGTATATGACCGATCGAGGCCTGGGACGGAAACGTCGTCCACGGCGGGAAACATAAACACGTTAGCACACCGGTTACGTGGACGAGTCCTTTACTGCAGCTTTCTGTGGCAGTCAACAGGAAAATGTCTTATAAAGAATTTCTTGACCTGCTTATACTTATTTACGGTGATAGCATTGTCTCAGATGAAGAGTTTTTACTGTTGTACGATACGTTCAAAACATAAAATTCCGAATTTCCTCATGGAAGCTACGAGCGATTCGATCTGGATTCTATGGACCCCGCCGAATGCAGAGCAGAGTTTCGTGTCGAGAAGCAAGACCTCCCTCGCCTGGTTACAGCACTCCAACTACCACCGCTGTTGAGATGTGAACAGAGAAGTATTTGTGACGACATAGAAGGGCTATGTATGCTTCTCAAAAGAGTTGCCTACCCATGCCGGCTCAGCGACATGATTCCGCGATTTGGCCGACCAGTTTCTGTAATAAGTCTGATCACAAATGATGTGATCGACTACGTCTATGACGTTCATGGGCACCTTATAACCCAGTGGAATCAAGATCTTCTGAACCATGGGGCTTTACAGCGTTATGCAGATGCTATATCAGGACAAGGAGCCCCCCTCGACAATTGCTTCGGTTTCGTCGATGGGACTGTCAGACCCATTTCAAGACCTGATGAACGTCAGGGAATAGTTTATAATGGTCATAAGAGGGTCCATGCCCTGAAATTCCAATCGTTGTCTCTACCAAATGGACTCATTAGAAATTTATATGGAGCAGTCGGTGAGTTTTTTTTTTAAAGTAAGTTCTTGTTATTGCTTTTAGTTATGTAAACTTTCTAAGCAACTTCTATTCTCACCTTTGATTTTTGTTTTCTTCGTTTTAGAGGGGCGTAAACACGACGCAGGGATGTTAGCAGATTCAGGACTATTACGTAACCTCCAACGGCATGCTTTTTCTCCAGCAGGTCAACCAATGTGCATATATGGCAATTTGGCGTACCCTCTCCGTGTGCATCTTCAAACCCCGTTTCGCCATGTCCCACTTGCACCCCTCATGCAGGATTATAACGAAGCTATGAGCGCTTTAAGGATTTCAGTGGAATAGCTTTTCGGGGATGTCATCAATTCGTTTAAGTTTCTTGACTATAAGAAGAATTTGAAGATCGGACTTAGCAGTGTGGATAAAATGTACATTGTCTGCGCACTACTTCGTAATGCCATAACATGCCTTTACGGTAATACCACCAGTGATTATTTTGGTATTGAGCCGCCCACTCTGGAACAATACTTTCACTAATTGGGGCAAAAATAGGGAGGGAGGGGACATCACACACTGCAGAGACACGAAAACACAGACCACCCTCTTCTACAAATAATGGCCCTTTAGCCCCAGTTAGCCTGGGCATTTTTGTTTTTCTTGAGCTTGGGGCTGGACTCAAAGTTTCCCACACCCCCCTCTTAAATAAAAATATATATTTGCAAAAGGGGAAGGGCCATTACCTTCAAAACAGCTTAAATGTGTGGGAAAGAGGAAACCAGTTCCATTGTTCAGCATAAATTATCATATCTTAACAAACAGATTATGTTATAAACATTTACATTTCTTCTGCTTTTTCTTTTAGTAACTTCATCGCAATTTGTATCAGCATTCCTCTTTCTGGTTTGTCCCTGGCGCTCTATGGCTTTTAATCTACTTTCTTCTACAGAGGCCTGATCATTTTCATTCTTTTTAGTAAGGGTATTCGAATTTTCTTTCCTTTCGAATTCTAAATCAACTGCTTGTTCCTTTTCTATGATTTCAGGCAATGCTATCTCTATTTCTGTTTCATCATCACATGCTATGCCAGAACCTTGCTCTTCCTTTCTCATCTTTTCTTTGTATTTGGCATGCAAAAGAGTAAGCCTGTCCCTCACAGAGCGCTCACTAACTCTGAATTTCGGTGAACTGATGCTATTTAAGCTTAGTGCTATTTCACCCCAGATTTCCCCCCTCTCTTTACTCTGTCTTGGGTGCTTAAATGGTTCAAGAAGAAGAACCTCCCTACAAAGCATAAGGTCATGTTCTTCTGACCACTTCATGGAATAATTTCTGAAAACAAATACAATTTTTATTACGTACGGAATTTCATCTTCCATTTAGTGTTATTGCAATAAACTTTATCCTATGGTAAAATTAATTAAATTTTGAGTACTTAAGCTTATTTACAAGCTCAAAATTTTTATGCGGTAAATATTTGTAAATTAATTTTTGTTTTAATTTATTTTCTTCGGCTGAAAATCAATGTTAGCTAAAACATGTCAAATGTTCTGCTAATTTCAAAATGTAAAAATTATCTACTCAAACAATTAACGTTTATTCAGTGTTGTAATCAACGTCAAGCTAAGTGATTCAGAGCTAAGCTAAGTTTATAGTCGATCCGAGCAGTTCGGATATTTTTCAAAGCCCAGAAATCTTCTTAAAAATGCCAAGCGGTATAAATTACAAAACTATAACGAAATACCCGCGATTTGTAATTATAAAAGCACTACCACGTACCCTGCAGTACTTTTATCATCATCCGCCATTGCTTTCTCCACTTTACACTGTAAAGCTCTACCTGCAACTCGAAAGAAATCAGGGTACGATCAAATTACTTTCGGCACTGTTTTTATTCACTAACCGACCCTTTAGATTGAAGAAATCCGTAAGATACGTACATACTCACGTTCTGGACGAGACGGCAGATGGCGAAAAATGGCGTCCTGAACGAGATGTGGACGACGAGTCCTGCTCGATTGGGCATGCGTGGTAGCATCGAAATTCGTTTTCCCAAATTCCGGTCGGTGACGTTCACGTTCTCGTCGTCATCGCTAAAGGTCCCTAATGTCGTGTCAGACGACATCTTCAACTCCAAGAAAAGCTACTAAAAGGGGGAGAAAGCCGAAATCAAGCGCTCCTTCTGATTTTTGTAGAATATGCGCTAGCTCTTTTGCTATTCGCTTGGGGAATCTTGGCAAGACGTCTTACATATCTGCGGGGAATATATTCCGAAGGTGTTACACGGTGTGGCACTCGTCAACTACAATGAGCGTGACACAATTGTTAGCGGAGAATTTTCATTCTATAACATGTTTTGGAATTTTGTATCCAAAAAGTGATCTGCTGTCTTCCGAAAACAAGCTTGTATTTCGCTTCGCCAATCAGCAGAAGCGCGTCCTCCTTTGTCTCCTTTGTTGACAAAACGATGGAAGGAGTCCTAAGCTCTTTCATCTCTCCTGATTTGCTTCAGCATTGGCACATTTGCATTTCTTTTGCCGTTGCGTAGAGTTGATATATCAGACTTTCCTCAAAGCCAGTTGGCAAAATTGCAACAGCAGCCTCTATCTGTTCATCCTTGAGCGAAGAAACGCTGAAATTTCTCTTAACAGGATTCTATTTTAAAAACAACCGCTCTATTACGAATCACGGCACGTGTCAGTGATGACAACTGCTGCAAGCCGCAAAACGC